TGTTTCCGTTTCGCGGAACTTCGAATCCCCCATGGAAATGTTTGCTTTGCTTCAGTCCTAACGGGGGAGGGGGGGGGAGGGTTAGAGTTCTACATAGCTTCTACATTTCTACGTGAAAACATTCAGTGTTTCGGCGAGCCGTAAAAAAATAACCGCTCGATCCCCTCTTTTGGTAAAATTTTAAGTTTCACGATTGTATTGTTGATCGAAGCGTGACAAAAGATTTCAATATTGTTCAAATTTATTTATTTTCTTTACACCATATCAATTTTAGAAACCTCTTGATCAATTCGTTCTTATCATTAGCATCAACTTCTTCGCTATAACTTCCCCAATTCAAATCCTCCAACTTTCCTTCACGAAAGATTTTTAAATACAAAACAATCTCTAAATGAAAGAGATAACAAGCTCCTTTAACAAAAAAAAAAAAAGAAAGAAACTTCATACTTCTTCCATTAAAAAAATTTCTCTCGACTATCCGTTAAAAAGAAAATATATAAAAGAAATAACAAGCATCCATAAAGAAGAATATAAAATAATCGATACCTTTACAGCCTTTATTTATACCTAGATAAGATTCGATAAACTATTGTCCGTTTCAAACAAGTAGACTACGACTCTAAAGGATGTGCAAAAATTTAAAAACTCTTAATTTTTAAAACCTCTAAAATAATAATAATAACAACCTCTCTCGTATAATTTCGTCACAGTTTATCGCGCAACCTCGTATTTTGTTCTCGTCCACGTAATATCGCAAACACATCCTGCAAAAAAAAAAAAATAATTTTATACCAAATTTTCAAAAACCCGTGTAAAAATACATTAGTTCCTTCTATACAATATGTGTATCTCTCGTAAGCAACTTCGATGCTTTTGACAATTTTCTATCCTTCCTTGCCCGCGTTTCGTTACATGAAAACGTATCAGAAAGAGAGAGAGAGAGAGCTCTCTCTTCTTCACCAACAATGTGCACGATGTATCGTATGATAGATGCTCCTCCTCGTGTTTAAGCGAGGGAATACGGAAACGTATGCCGGCCGAGTAAAGTATACCGTTTTATAGACGATTATTGATTTCTACGGTATCGAGAATAACCGTAAAAATGGATTTACGGGTGCCGCGACGATATAATGGCCGAGGGGGGTGGTTACGCGACGGGGTTAAATCGCGCGTTCCGCGCTATTCTCTGCACGACTCCGTTATATCTCGAAAAAAAATAAAAAGAACTCACGAAACACACACGCACGCATATACATACGTGTGTGTATACGTGTATATTATATGCAGAGGCGTCCTTTTTGCTCCACCGAGTCGATCGAGTTCTATGAATGGCAGGGGGAGGGAGAGGGATCACGGAGATAGAGATTCTGGGGAAATGGGAAGAGGAAGTGACGAAAGGATGAATGTTGAACGAACAACCGATCGAGCCGATGATCGATGGTGTTATGTATTTTTTTTTTTTTTTTTTTCTTTTACGGTTATGGTGGATGAGAATTATTTGTGAATTTCTCGTATTCGATATTGTTTATCGCGCAAGTAAATTGTATTTATTGGTTTTGATCTTTTGACGTATCGGATTTCATTGAATCTTTCTCTTCGATTCAATAGATGGATTATTATCGAATAGGAGGAGAAAGAGAATCGTTTAATACTTCGATAGTTCGTACAAAAATATTCAATTTTCTAATGGAAGTTTGTAAATCTTGATCGATTATTATTTTATCGTATGTTTGAAATTATAATTTTATCTGATTAGATTATTTGTAGAGTTTAAGTATATTTTAATAATTTTTGTTTCAAATAATTTACATGAAATTATATTTGAATCTTGTTTTGATTTTAATTTCGTGTAACTCTTTTTCTTTTTTTTTTTCTCGATAATTCATTTAGCAGTTCGAATTCAATCAAGTTTTCTTGGACTCTGTTCATTGAACACTTCGTCAACGAGAAAAATAATGGTCCAAAGCGAAAACTCAAGTTGATTATGTATTCAGGGATACTCCCACTTCTTCCACGTTTTCCAGTAGTAGTAGTAGTTTCTAATTAAACGAATTCTCTTTCCCTTTGTTTTCTCCCCTTTCCTGTTTTATCGCCTGCAACGCGTCTCTTTTTCTTTAACCAACTTCCACCTTTGTGATAGAAAAATTTAAGATTTCGTTTTTTGGTTTCGGTTATTTGAAAAAGTTTTCAATAAAATTTGCAGTGGAATAACTCGGTGACATTTCTGCCAATGTATCGTTAATTCAACGCGTATTCACACTTGGTATGCGATTGTCGATGTGTTCTTTCCATGTGTATTCATCGGTGTGATCGTTTTGATATAAAAATTTTTAAATTTCGTTTAGCTTTATTTTCAATAAAATTTCCGTTTACACAGTAGTATAACTCGGTGATCGTTCTGACAAATTTTCATTAATTCCACACGTGTCATGTATTTCCATACAGTTGTTGCGTATTTTCCATACGTATTGTTGATTTATCTACTAATATTTTAATAAAATATTAAAAGTTTCGTTTAACTTTGTTTCTTTTTTTTTTTTTTTTTTTTGAAAAGGTTATATACAATTCAATCATTGGAATAATTTTTTTATAATTCGAAAAGTATCTACAATTCTATGTATATGTATTCTTTTTCTGGTGTATATGTGTGTGCATTTTTTACATTGAAATCATTTTCACGTTCGAAAAATTATTAAAAATTTAATTCAGCTACATTTTTTGAAAAAAAAAAAAAAAATTCCTCTCTTCTATTCAATATAACTCGATAATTATTCAGATGATTTTTCGTAATAAGATGACAGATATATATCCTCAATCTATAGGAATGATGGTGAAAAAAAAGAAATTTCATTTGTTGTTTAAAAAAAAATTCTTCAACGAAGAATCTTTTTTTATTGTTATTAATAAGAAATTTTTGGTAAACAAAAATTCCTCAATCACTCGTCGACGTCGAATCAAAAACTTTTGAATTTTCGATGAAACGATGGGTCCTTTTTATTAAAAACATTCCTTTCGTTATCGAAAATTTTTTCTCATCTTTTATATAATCACGTTATTGAAAACGTTCTCTCCCGGAATTTTTAGCTGCATCGCAGATTTCTGGTTGCCTTCGTTTTTAGACCAACAGGCGAACAACAGAGTGTGAACGACGGTCTGAAAATAAATTATATTCTGAAAAATTTAATTAAAATGTCTATTATACGATATTTTTCATAACCGAGAGATCAACTATGTTCCATATTACTTTTATATATGCGTATACACGTACAACGAATTCTGAAAAGAATCTTGTTATAATTAACTTTTCTCGATTTAATTTTCCTTTCCTTTCCTTGCTTCTCTATTATTTTTATACTTTTCCTTATTTTAATCGCGCGCGATATTCGTATAATTATATGTTTGATGGCTCGCATGTATTTGTACATTAAATAAATGGTCTGAAAATAAAATATCGATCTCGAAAATTATTCAATCAAAAATTGATACATTAATATCTATCTCGTGATTAAGATCTCTTAAGATCATTGTTTTATGCAAATAAAATAGATTAACTCCTTCGATAATTCAATTTTCTTCAATTTCTTTTATTCCTATGTTCTCGATGGTATTTTATTCGTTAGTTCCATAATATATTTCGCTAAAATTAGTATCTACTCGACACCACAGTAATCTTCCAATTCATCCGTATCATTTTCATTTGCTCCGTATGATTTTCATCATCTGCGAAATCCGCGAATAAAATCTGCTATCGATTAATCCTGTCGTTATTTAATTTTCCTCTTGTTACAATTTTCCTATTTATTTCGTTAAAAGTGGAAAAAGGGGGAAAAATTCAATTGGTTGACGCGCGTTTCGCTCTTTTTTAATAACCACATTCACTAATAAAATCGCCCAGTTGCCCAACTCTCAGCAACGAATTCAAATTTCAAACACGCCCGATCCGATTATGATTAGTAAAAACGGTAAAAATAATAAAAATAGATCGATCTTCGTACGTTTGTTAAGGGGGATTAATCAAGTTTGCTCGAATGTAAGCAAATTTGCATACAATGTTCGTCGAAGACGTTCGAGGGAAGCTATCGACTCCTCAGATTCATAATGCATCGCACGTGCATCGAGTCAATCCGATTACACGGCTGAACGGAGTTAAACACGGCCCCGCGCCTAGGATGACGTTTACGCATGGTCGGCCCCCCACCTCCCCTTCCTCCCCGGCTTATGGGTATATTCTGTCTCGGCCGTATTCCTCTCCTCCTCCTTCGCCCCCTCTCCTTTCCTCTCCCTTGTTTCTTTCCGCTAATCCTCCAATCTGGTTAGTTACTCCGATACCCGTCCAATTTTTACCGATCGAGCCTGTAATACCTTGCCGATCGAGCAACTTGTTACCTAGGGAAATTGCGTTACTTGGGGAAATTTATGCATACCCCTTATTCGAGGCTCGGCATACTAAAAAAGTGTGGTTTATATTTATAAGGGAAGCCATATTATGGATCGATTTAAAAAAGAAAAATAATGCAAGAAGTTGCAGTTAAGTTGTAGTAGATGAAACGCGAGTTACGTTGGATTAGATTCTTGCCTCCTGTTTTCTTTATTATCTTATAACGAATATTTTGTAAAAGGCAAAGGCATCGATCGAAAGTATTAAGTAGAAGGTAAAGTTATTAATTAAATTGTAATTAAATTCGTAGATCAACAGTAATTCGAACAATGATCAATTTCAAGGATAACACGAAAAACGGTCTCGAGCATGATGCTTAAAAAAATATCCAGGTGTATATATGTGTATATACAATTCTCGAGTTGCATGAGAGGGTTAAGACACGCATGTAGAGGGATTCAACCACCGTCATTACATTTAATTATCGCAGGGACGGTTGCGTTTAACCATTAACAATGGCCGAGATGGTAGAATGCCAACGCAGTGTGAAAACGCAACCCGTCGTTTTCACGATTTCCGGCGTGATTTTCGCGGCGCTGCGATCGCTTTAATGATCTCTGACGGTGCGCCATTAACCAAGCGTTGTGAAGGGTCGCCTTCCTAGATGAACCAACGTTCCCTGATGGCACCTCGCTCCGTGACACGTCGTACACCAGGCACCTTTTCAACGCACCGACCCTCCACAAATTCACCCTCTCGTTCTTATCACACGCGTACATTATGATTATGCACGGTGAAAGGAAGGTGTGCGTATGGTTTCCTCCACGTGTTGTGAAGTCGTTGGTCTTGTTCAGTCAACTTGGCTTAAAACAACGACTGGATGCTGATAACGATTCTCAATATCTATAATTTTTTGAACCACTATAACCTATCTTAATCGTGTAGCCATTATCGTCGAGAAAAAAAAAATAATGTAACAATATTGGAACCTAAAATTTTTTAGGTCTCTTAACCTAACCTAACTTTGTGCGATTACTTGATCATTCACGAGAGACAAGTATATATTGAGAAACTTAGGAAGTCACGAATTATTCGTACAACGCGTCAATATATCCAATAATCTTAAATTTAACAAAGAAGGGGGGCAGATGGAATTCTTCGCGGGAGGAACGACGTCGGTTAATGTAGAACGCGCGTCACGCTTTGATACAGCGAGTTTAGCAATGCGTCGCTCTGCAACGTAGCAACGTCGAACATTAAACTGCAGTGTGCGCGAGCCGGTTCATCCTGCCTCTAGTTTATCGTTGCAGGATTTCCTCCTTTCGTCGTTTGCCCGCCGCAGTCTAATGGGGAACATTTACTTCCAAGGGTTGAACCACCACCCCAGAGCCGACGTTCACCCATTTTCGTGGAGGATAAATTCCACGAAAGATCAATACGAATGTTGGCTTATTTAATTGTATCCTTGGTGCACGATGAACGTATGCAAGATGGACTAGTTGCAAAAGATGATTCCTTTCAAGGAAAATTATATTGGAAAATTAATACTTGGAAAAATTATAAGATGATTAGGAAATTAGTAGAATCGTTAAGAAATTCGTATATTCAATGTTTCGATATTTCCCACGATATTTAATTCCCCTTCTCATATGTGGTCCATCGATATTTATAATTATTCGTATCAATTAAGCGAGATCGTGTATCGCAAAGTTTAAGAGGAATCATATTGAATAAATGAAAAGCGGAGAAATAATTCTGATATAATATAATAATAATCGTACGTTGAATTCCATTATATTTCTTATTGTTTCCCCCAATGCTGTTTTCAGATACGTCTTTGTATCTCTCCTTCAAACATCTTCGCGCAAAGAGAAAATCTGCGAAAATCTGCAAAAATGTATCCCATTGAAAAATAACGTATAAACACATACGTAAATACACACGTGTAAACGCGAAACATTCGATACGTCAACACTTACCTATCGTTCAAGGCGAGCCTTCAGGCGACCCGGAAATATTCGCTCGAAAAATTCAACCGCAAACGCCCACCCACGACTTTCCCCGTTTAACAGGTAACTACCGAAGGGAACGGTCTGCTGCGTTCGAAGTGAATCTTTTAGCTTGTCGAATGCAAAATCGTCGCCAGACAGCTGCCCCTGGAGCTCCTTCCAATATATTTCATTCTTATCTACACTTCATCGTGAAGGTCTCTTTTTCCCTTACCTCCTCTAGGGATGGACTTTGACCGCCGCTATCTTTAATACCAGCTACTCCATTTATATATATGTATATATTATATGTGTATATATATATGTATGTATATATATATATACGGAGTTTCGTTTTAATCTCGCATGAAAATACCTGGAAAAAATACGAAAAATGTTAGATTACGGGATGTTTATTTGTTCAATTACAAGTATTTTTGTATATTTTGTTTTATGTTCCATGAATATATAGAGAGAACGAAATCATAACACGTATAGAATGTATCTTTTGATCTTCGAAATGTAAATTTAAATGTAGAAAAATCTGAAGATTGTGCATATAATTGCGCAACAAAATATCTGAAATAAATAAAAATGGAATCAAATTATTATTTATTATATCTCGTTCGTATAATTACTTGAAACGTTATTATATCCCGTGTCGTTTTTGAAATGAAGACCGTTAGATCGGTAAAATATCCAGTTAAAAAAAAAAATAATAAAAAAAAAAGCACCATATATTATTCTAATATATAACAATGTCCAACAGCATAGGAATATTATCCTAGGAAATAAACGAAGAAAAAAGGATCAAGAGGAACGAGATAATTCCAACTTCCAGTATCCTCTTACAACCGACTTCCGTTTCTCCATGAAACCCGATCGACGCCGGCTACTTATAACACCGGAAAAACGCTAATCCCGAGACGGAGAGCATCCGGTTAACGAGGCAACGCTTGGCCAGAGGTAAATTGAAATTGGACGCAGTGATGCGAGTTGTTATATATAATCCAAGGAAACCAAGAAAAATGTTATAATTTTGTTGAATTATTGATTTTTGGAGAAAGATCAGTTTTATATATGGGCAGTATAATGATATGATACCATCTTGCCTTTATACTTTATCATCAAGATATCACTAGAATTAGAACGTGGCGTAAATTCGTAAATTGATACAAACAAGATTGAATAGAAAAGTATCCAATGGAAGAATGTATCGAAAAAATTGTAATATATATCCGTTTTTTCCTAATTTTTTCGTCAAAAAAATAGAAAAAATAAAGTGTATGGCAATTATAAATGAAGATATTTTAATGTATATAGAAATTCAACGCACCATCTATGATTTGCGACTGTCTCCTTCGGGCATTTCCGTTCAAAATAAATTGTTATTCCATTTCGAGAGTTCCTTCCTTCGAGAAGGACGCACCGCGCGTGAATCCGCGAATGTCGCAACAATATCGTTAATACATTCCAAAACTCTGATATCTCTCCTTTCGTCTCTCTCTCTCTCTCTCTCTCTCTCTCTCTCTCTCTCTCTCTCTCC